AACCCAACTGGATGAGTCGTCTTGACGTTCTGAGGGCAGCTTGATTGTCAGTATGAAACTAAGGGAGTTCCCAATGGATGGGTGACAAATCAGCTGCACTCCTTGGTCTCAGCAAATAGACCACGGTCTAAATTCATCCTCCTCGAGGGGGCCTTTCTGGTCAGGAGCGAATCATATTGGCTAGGGGGCAGGCTCGGGCACTGCTGCTGCCCACGTGACTAGAGGGCGGCTGTTCACCACCACTCAGTTAGCATTGGAAAGACAATAAAAGCTTTGTTTAGTGCCTTTGGTGCAGCTTTCAGCCTCTCGGCTCGGTCGCAGCCGTGTAATTCCACGGACTTCTGTGGGGTTACTCTGTATTTACGGCAGTCCATAGGTTCTCTCTAAGTCAGGGGTGGGCAAACTATGGCCCGCGGGCCAGATCCGGCCCCTCAGGGCTTTGGATCCGGCCCACTGGATTGCCCCGCGGGCCCCGCGCCGCTCTCAACAGCGGCCGGCCCAACGTCCCTGTGGCCCCTGGGCCTTTGCCTCCAGGCACCGCCTCCCGCAGCTCCCATTGGCCAGGAACAGGGAACCATGGCCAATGGGAGTTTCGGGAGTGGTACCTGGAGGCGCAGCAAGGGCAGCGCATGCGGAGTCCTCCCCCTCCACTGCCCCTCTCCCAGGGGCTGCAGCACTTCCTGGAGCAGTGCGGAGCCAGGGCAGGTATGCAGGGAGCCTGCCCTGGCCTCAGTGCATACCGCTGCCCCCCTCCAGCACCCTGCCCCACAACGCCCTGCCCTAAGCCCCCTGCCTGCACTGCGCACCTCTCCTGCACCTCAACCTCCTACCCTGAGCTCCCTGCTACACCCCTCCTGCACCCCAACCCTGAGCCCCTTCCCGCACCCCTACCCTGAGCCCCCTCCTGCACCCCAACCCCCTGCCCTGAGCCCCCTCCCACACCCTGCACCCCTCTTCTGCCCCAATTCCTTGCCCTGAGCCCCTTCCTGCACACCGCATCCCCTCCAACACCCTGCCCCGGCCCTGCATACAATTTCCCCACCCAGATGTGACCCTCGGCCCAAAAAGTTTGCCCAGCTCAGCTCTAGGTGGTGAGCTCTTATGGGCCGGTGGGAGCCGTAAATCGCCTTGCTCTGGGGATACTGACTCTGCTTTCTGTCCCCCACCAGGAATGTCTTTTTATTTAGAAGACAGGAAATAAGAAAACCAAGAATGTCCCACAATCAGCAAACTTCATTGTGGCCGAGGGCTTTCACTCACTCTAGTGTGCGCCGTCAAACCCGAAGAGACGCTTCCCCGCCAGGACAAGCCAGTGAAGTTACTGTTTGTGAGGGAGAGGGCAACTCAACCTACTAAAGATGGCTGCAGCCGGACCTACAGCATTGTAGGGGCAACGCTGCTTTCTTGATGGACTCGCTTTAAAAAAAAAAAAAAGAAATAAAAAAAACAAACAAAAAAAGAGAGAAAAGAAACAAGAATGGAAAAAAAAAAATTTGCCTGGAAAAAAAAAAAAAAAAATAAAAAATACAAAACAAAGTAGAAAACTTTCTGTGAAATGAAAAATAAAATAAAATTTACTTAAGGAAAACGTGGGGATTAAAAATACAATACCTAGCAAAACCAATTGTCTGCACTGGGAGGGGGGAAGGCACCCAGGTTTTTAGCCCACTTCCAGAACACCGAGCTTCCTCCACTCCCCCCTCCCCTCGCCCCCCTCTAAAAGAACAATCAGGAGGAGTTGGGTTCCCCTGTGCGGCACCGTGGGGATCCTGCTGTTCGCCCCTGTGGAGCGCTAACCCACCCCGCCCCCCCTTAAGCAAACCCCCCTAGCTAAATCTGATACCACCAATCTGTCAGCCTCCTGGAGGAGAATCAGCCTGGGATAGACTGTTATATATTATATATATTTTTTTCTTTTTAGTTTTTTTTTTTTTTTTTTTTAATTTGGTTTTATTTGGGTTTTTTACCATGAGGGGGCGAGAGGAGAGGGCTCTAGAGCTCGCAGGGGCGGGGCTGACTATTTTACTCAACAGATTTGGAAACTGCTCACTGGGGAATCGTACATTGACAAGACCTGAGACCCTGCGCGGGCGTTAGAATTGAGCGCATGCTGTTCCGTCTGGTGTTGTAGCCATCTCGAGAACAATACAAACAAAAAACACAAAAAAATCAATTAAAAAAATTAAAATGTGGGTTTTGTGCCTCGTGTCTCTGGCTGTTGAACCTGTCTGCACGCCTCCTGGCTCAGAACACCCGGTACCAGTAGGATCTGTCCGTGTTCTTCCAGTGACAGCAAGACACCGTTACCCTTAAGGGTAGTACCAGCGAAGGCTAGTTGTAGTAACCTGTTGGAAGGGACTATGCGAAGTGACGGGATATTAATTTTCTGTGCTTTAGTCACCAGGGTTAATCCCAGCTTAACCCTCTTCTCCGACTGGCTTCTCCTACGCGAGGAAGAGAATTCGCTTCTCCCTTGCGCCCTGATTGGCCCAGTAGCATTCACTAGCCTGCCAGTATTGCTGTGATCGCTTTATAATCCTAGGTAGTACCTTAGACATTACACCAGAGCATCCCTACTTCACACTAACGCAGGCCAGGTCTGGTGGGAATTGCTGGATTTTATGACTTAATAAGTAAATGATCAAAGAGGATCAGAGTCAAGGTGCTTTTTTATTGGCCAGCAATGATCTTCTGAGCAGGGTGTTGGTGCGTGACCTATATTTCATTGCCTTCTGGTGTCTGTTGTGTACAAGCAGCGTGCCTTCAAAGCCCCCTCGCGGTAACATTCGGCTAATCAAAGCGAGCTGTGGTGTGAGGCTCGCAAGCACCATGTGAGCTTACCGTGCTGTGTGTTGGTGAGCAAGGTTCTCCGATGCAGCCAAAGATCTAGTTAACAGATACCGCAGCCTGTAATTGCTTAAAGGATCCTGATAAAGGTTTATAGGCTAGGCCATCGTGGGGGAATAAGCCACCATTAAATACTATCCAAACAACAAATCTAGAGCTCTTCTCCTTGAGGCTTGCCTGCAGGGCCATATGGCTGGAACTGTCCCGCCCCAGCCCAGGGTTAAAAGGCAGCAAAATTGCCTGGCTACGGGCTTTTCGCTTTAGGAATCTTACAGGCTGTGCTCAAAGGTGCTGGTGAGCTGAATCATCCACTCAATGTGCAGCGGCAGTCAAAAAAGCAAACAGAACGTTGGGAATCATTCAGAAAGGGGTAGATAAGACAGAAAATATCATATTGCCTCTATATAAATCCATGGTACATCCACATCTTGAATACTGTGTGCAGATGTGGTCGCCCCAGCTCAAAAAAGATATTGGAATTAGGGCAACAAAAATGAGGGTCTGGAACAGCTTCTGTATGAGGAGAGATTAATAAGATTGGGACTTTTCAGCTTGGAACAGGGATGACTAAGGGGATATGAGTGAGGTCTATAAAATCATGACTGGTGTGGAGAAAGTAAAGAAGGAACTGTTATTTACTCATAACACAATAAGTAGGGGGTCACCAAATTAAATGAATAGGCAGCAGGTTTAAAACAAGCAAAAGGAAGTATTTTTTCACACAACGCGCAGTCAACCTGTGGAACTCTTTGCCAGAGGATGTTGTGAAGGCCAAGACTATAACAGGGTTCAAAAAAGAACTAGATAAATTCATGGAGGACAGGTCCATCAATGGCTATTAGCCAGGATGGGCAGGGATGGTGTCCCTAACCTCTGTTTGCCAGTAGCTGGGAATGAGTGACGGGATGGATCACTTGATGATTCTGTTCATTCCCTCTGGGGCACCTGGCATTGGCCATTGTTGGAAGACAGGATACGGGGCTAGATGGATTAGTCTGACCCAGTCTGGCTGTTCTTACGTTTGCCCTGCTCCCCACCCCTCCCCCAGCCAAGGAAAGGTACCCAGACCCTCTGCACTAAAACCTGCCTTGACCATGAAAGATTAGCATGGGTCTGACCCCACGTTTACAAGCAATTTGAGCCAGACCCAGGTCTGTGTACCAGGTACCCGGCTGCCTAGCTGCCGACACAGGAACGGACTGGCTGGCAGGACCGTGTCGTGCTCCGCTGCGGGTTTGGTACACAGGGCCATGTACTTGGCACGACGCTCTACCCTGAGGCAAGACGCAGCCGGCACAAGGGGATTCTGCTGCAAGACCTCCAAGCCTGCTGGGAGGGGAACCTCTGAGCCCAGCTTCCAAGCAGGGCAAGCTGGGGCCTGGCTCAGAGGAAGCGCTGGTGCTTGGCACCTTTAAAACTGCCCAGGCCAGAGCCCCGGGGAAGGGAACGTAGACACAGCTGGGCTTTGTTATCCCCACTTGTTGGAAGTCAGGCAGCCTGGGCCTCGGCCGTGACTAACTCAGGGGGGAGCGGTTACTGCTGAAGAGGCTACGACCCAGCAGTTACAAATGGTCAAGACGGGGCTAAGCTGCCAGGCAGCGGCTAAGTCGTTAAAGCTTCAGGCTCCCGGCTGGAAGGAACAGGGGTTCGGCTCCCAGCTGGCCTGGCTCCGCTGTAGAGCGTGGCCCCAATGGAGCCGGGACCAGCAGGGGCCCTACCCCCAGTCATTGGGCTGGACCATAACCGGGGCGGTTTCCAACACACGCTGGTGTACGCTAACGGCCAGGCCTGCAAACGCGCCCCGGGTGCCGACTCAGGCAGGGCTCGTCAGCCCCAGGCGGAGACTCTGTAGGTCAAATGCTGCCTGTGGTCCCAGCCGGCCAAGCCCCGTGCGGGCCCTTAGTGCTGTGATTGCTACGCACGTCAGAATACGATCTCGGGCCCTGGCTGCAGAAACGTTTCAGTGAGCGGGAGCTCGGGGCGGGGCAGTTCAGCTTGTGCTTTACCATACGCTGAACGCTCAGTGGGCCGGCTCCCTTCCTGTCCTTCTGATGGGGGACGTGGGGGGAGCCTCACACACACACACACAGGCATAGGCAAGTGGTTGCTTTTATTAACAGCTGAGCACTTCCCTTGCTGCGTCTCTGTGCCAGGCCAGTTCCCGGGGCCGTGACGCCAGCTCCCGGATACTGTGACTGCAGCGTCGCCTGGGGCTCCTTCACGCCCGCGGGCTGGATCGGGCCTGACGGCCGGGCCTGTCCTTTCAGCAGGCCCCAGCACGTGCTGCCCACCACCAGACAGTTCTCGTAAGTGCCCAGGGCGGTGAGTCTAACAGTCTCTTTCCTCCATCGCAGGCCTTGCCTGTCCCTGCAGTGCTCTGGCAAGATGGGGCCTGGCCCGCAGCCTAGTGTATTCCCAGCAGGTGGTGGTGTGGGCCGGCCTCCATCCATCCCTGCAGGAAGGGCCCTCTCCCCCCTGCCCCTTTGGGGTCCACAGCTGGGAGGTTGGCGTGGAGCGGGCAGCGGAGCCGGGCAGCCTGCGCCGACAGATCCAGCGGAGCATCGCCCTATAGAGATCAGTTTGCCTCGTCTCCCCCTCCTCGGGGCTGGCATGCACGGCCAGGCTCCCCCGGGCGCCCGTCAGGAGGGAGGGGAAATGGGTGAGTGTGCGCGACGTGCCCACGTCCTCACTGCTGCATGCTGCTGGCCTGCATCGCCCACGGGCCCGGGCCTGGCTCCAGGTTCGAGGCCGGGTGGGCCTGCGGGCCCTGCTGGTTTTGCCAGAGCTGATGCAGCTCCTTGAACTGCTCCACCATCTTGTCTTTCAGGTCCGGATGGGAGATCTGGAGGCGGATGCTGTCTGCCGACCAGGAGAGCTCCCCAGAGAACATCTCCAGCAGGATCCGGGCGGCCACTGGCACGACCTGGGAGGCAGACAAAGAGCAGGCAGGAGCTAGCCCGCTCCCCTCTGCAGCCGGCTCACCCCTGCCCCCGCACAGCCTCAACCCCCCACATCCTGGAAGGATCTTGGGCTGAGTCACCCAGCCCCTCTCTGGAGTCCCTGCTCCCAGCACGTTACCTTCTCTTCACCTGACCCCTGCCGGGTAACAGCCTACTCTTGCTGCTGCATCTCCACCCCTCCCGGCAGGCCAGGGCTGCGATTAGGTCATGGGGCAGAGGCCTTGTTTAGCACCGTCAAAATATCTGAGCTTGTCCCAGGGAGGGGAGTGGCGGAGAGGCCGGCGGCACCAAGGGGCCGGCTGAATGAGGGAGCAGCGAGGAATCAGTGACCGAGTTTCCCGTCCAAGGACTGATCACTCACCCGGCTCCCAGCCCGAGACGCTCTGGTGACCCCATGCTTGGGAAGGGAATCGCAACCACCCATGGCCATCACAATCCCCCTTTGCAAGCTGTAGGCATCTACCCGTCCCAACCATTCAGCCTTCCCTGGGCTGTTGCTGGGGGCCCATTGGGGTCTGCTGGCTCATGCAGTCCGGGGCTCGGGCAGTCTGGCTCCCCGGCTTGGAAGGGCCACAGTTCCATGGCTGGCGTGTCCCGCTGCAGGCTGGGAAGGAGCAAGGGGGGAGATGGGCCAAGCGGGGAGAGGGTGGAGGGTCCTTAACAGAGCCAAGCCAGCAGACAGGACCCCAGTTGTGGGGCCCTAGGCCCTGCTCCCAGGGGCGAGAGCGGACATGGAACCCTTACCTGGACGGTGATAAGTTTCTTCTCCTTCGGCTTCTGGTCCGGCCACTCCTCTCCGAAGCAGAGGAAGATTTCGAAGGGGGGCGGCGTGCTGGTCTGGCCCTTCTGGAACAGGATGAGCCCTAGGGAGCCCCACAACAGACACGGCATGAGGGGCAGGGCCCCCGTGGCATTTCCAATGCCCTTCCCCCCCAGCATCTAGCGACACCCCCCCCCCCAACCACGTGGGAGGAGACAGGGCCAGAGGAGAAGGGCCCTAGGGGACTGGCAGCCAGGGAAGCTGGGGGCAGAGAAGCCATGTGGGGAGGCCAGGGCTGGGGCCGGGGAGCCAGGATGTGGAGGGCAGGGCTGGCCCCCGGCCCCTCCGCTCACCGTTGAGGAAGTTCTCCAGGCTGAAGAGTTTGATCTTCCTCTCGCGCTCGATGGGGTTGGGGCCGGCCCGCTCGCCGGCGCAGGGCCCCGTCCAGAAGACCTTGCACTGACACAGCCGGACGGCGTAGATGTCTTGGCCCTGCAGCTCCAGGATGAGGCCCCGGTCCATGACGTCCAGCAGCTGGTGGGTGTAGAAGCGCTGCTTCTCGTTGGGGATGTGCTCGGTGCTGGGGAAGCGCACCTGCTCCAGCGTCACGGGCCCGAAGAGCTCCACCTGCTCGTGCGTGGGCTCCAGGCTGCTGTGGAACAGCCGGCACCCGTGGGGGTTGCTGATGGTCAGGGAGCTGGCCTGCCGCCCGCGGTAGTGGAACTTGAGCTCCAGGTCGGTCACTGGCCGCGGGGAGAGCGAGACAAGCCCGTTAGCCGGGGGAATCGGGCGGGAGAGCGCCCGGGAGGCCCTGATAGTCCTGTGCTACCGTCACGCCGCTACCTCCCCCCACGCTTTCCCCCCAGCCCCGCTCCTGTCGCGAGCCGCGCACCGGCATGGCCACGGCGCTAGGCGCTGTCCGGACCTAACGGCATGCAGCCCCCGCCCCGGAGAGCTCGCAGACTAGAAGGGGCAGTGCCAGGACGCAGCGAGGGCGCGCTAGGCGCCGACGGGGAGGGCAGCCCCAGGCTGAGCGGGATCTTACGTGGCAGCATGTGCGGGCTGATGAGCAGGTCTGGGATGAACTGTTCCATGGGCTGCAGCGGCATGCTCCCAGCCGGGCTCTGAGCGGGCAGCTCCCCTGCTGCGAAGGCGCCAGCGGCGGGAGGCGGCGGCGCCGACACGTCCGGGTGGAGGAGTTCCCGGGCGCCCAGTGGGGGGAAGGAGCTGTTCCCGCAGGGGTTGGGATACGGGACTTCCTGCTTCGGCCACACGTAGGAGGGGAGCGGCTCCACGCCCTGGCTGGGATCTGAAAGCCACCAAAACACACTGGCTCAGGATCTGCCCGTCAGCCCAAGCCAGCTGCGAGCAGGGCCCTGGCATCACCAGCCGCGCCCGGCTCCAGCCAACGATGCCCAACACCCAGGGCTCCCTCGGCACACAGCCCCTGCTCTCCGGCAACCCTGGTGCAAGTTCCCTCCCCCTCACGGAGAGCAAAGGAGGAAAACAACTGACCCTTCCGGCTGGGAGCTGGGGGTCCGTTAGTGCCCCGCACGGGATCGAGGGTAAAAGAGGGGCAGCCCCCAGCCTCGAGTGGGGTCTCGCTGTGTGAGCTGAGCCCCCGGGGCACTTTGGAAGCTGGAACCGACTGCTTAGGGAACAAACCCAGCCCGTGACCGGGGGGAAGAGGGGGACAACCCCGTGTCTCTCCCCACAGCTTTCAGGCCCCCTCTGCCCCACCTTGCCCCGATCAGCTGGAGGTGGCTTGGGCACAGAGCAGGGGGAGCCCATGGGGCTGAGCCGGCAGCCCCTTCTCCTCCCCTGTGGGGGGTCCGGGTGGGGCAGGGGCGGAGGGGGCAGACGCAGGACGGAGGACGGTGTCGGGAGAGGGAGGTGCTCAGAGCCCCATGGAACACACGAGGGTGCTTACGTGGTAAGACTCTGCACCAAGCTTAGCTGGCCCTGGGCGGCTGGGCTGCAGTGACCCCGCCAATGGACCGGGGCAAGGCCGAGAGATGCCCTGGCTAGCTCCCGGCCCACCAGCTGGATGAGATCACCCCGCTCCGCTGCTCCCCCTGGGGCCCGTCACAATCCCCGGCCTCAGGCCACGCCGGCACCTGGCAGCCCCACTGGCCTGTCGCAGGGCACCCGAGGGATGGAGGGATTTAACCGGGCAGCAGAGGGGCCTTGTCCCCGGGGCTCGGTAGATCGGGGAGCAGACTAGCCCTGCAAATCCTGCTAACCCCATTCCCACATTGCCTGGCGCCCCGGACAGCCCCCCCCGCCCCCCCGCACTCACCCGCTATCGTCAGCGTCGTCATTTTCTGCAGCTGCGAGAGAGACAGGAGGCGCTCGGTTATTGGGGGAGGGGGCAGAGTAGGGCGGCCAACTTTCTAATCGCACAAAAGCTAACAACCTTGCCCCGCCCCTTCACTGAGACCCCACCCCACCCCTGCTCCCGCTCACTCCATCCCCCCTCCCTCCGTCGCTCGCCCTCCCCCACCCTCACTCACTTTCACCAGGCTCTGGGGTGGGGCCAGAAATGAGGGGTTCAGGGTGTGGGAGAGAGCTCCGGGCTGAGGCAGGGGGTTGCACTGTGGAGGGTGAAGGCTCCGGCTGGGGGTGCGGGCTCTAGGGTGCGGCCAGGGATGAGGGGTTTGGGGTGTGGGAGGGGGCTCAGGGCTGGGGCAGGGGGCAGGAGTGGGTGCAGGCTCTGGGAGGGGGCTCAGGGCTGGGGTCGGGGTGCAGGTTCTAGGAGGGAGTTTGGGTGCGGGAGGGGGCTCAGGGCTGGGGGTTGAGGTGCAGGAGGGGGTTGGGGTGCAGGAGGGGGTGCGGGCTCCGGGAGGGGGCTCAGGGCTGGGACAGGGAGTCGGGGTGCAGGAGGGGGTTGGGGTGCAGGAGGAGGTATGGGGTGAGGGCTCCAGCCAGGGGGCACTGACCTCAGGCGGCTCCCGGAAGCGGCCGGCATGTCCGGCTCCTTGGCAAAAGTGCAGACAGGTGGCTTTGCGCGCTGCCCACTCCTGCAGGTGCCGCCCCCTCAGCTCCCATTGGCTGCGGTTCCTGGCCAATGGGAGCTGCAAAGCCGGCACGCCTGTTGGAGGCAGCACGCGGAGTCTCCCTGGCCGCCCCTGCGTCTAGGAGCCGGACGTGGCAGCCGCTTCCGGGAGCCGCGTGGAGCCAGGGCAGGCAAGGAGCCTGCCTTAGCCCCGCAGCACCGCCGACTGGACTTTTAACAGCCCGATCAGCAGTGCGGACGGAGCTGCCAGGGTCCCTTTTCGACCGAGCGCTCCACTTGAAAACCGGACTCCTGGCAACACGAGGGCAGTCAGCCCATGCAGCCGAAGGGATTCCTGCACCCCAGGGGCTCGGCAGCCAGCCCAGGGGCTAGCAGACCCAGCGCTGTTCGGCAGGTGGGGCGAGCTCAGCTTTCTGCCCCGGGTTTTCGGGGGACACTCAATGGAAAGCTCTGGCAGCCTGCGAAGTGTGTAATGGCTAGTAGCCCACCTGGCCCTATTGCACCAGGGGCACGGTGCTCACAGGCCCTGTCTGGCACCCACACCCACGCGCAGGCCGGCTCCGCCAACCCCCTCACTCACCTCCTCCTCCTCCTCCCCCGGGCAACAGCTGTGATCGTCCCCGGCCAGCGAGTCTGCAATGGAGACGGGGGGGGGGCAGGGGGGGAGATTAGCAAGTCACACATGAGGGTCAGGCGGCCCATTGGCTGGGGGAGTCACGGGGCCCGTTTGCTGGGGGAGTGTCATGGGGCCTGTTAGTTGGGGGTGAGGCTGGGGTCACAGGGCCTGCTAGCTGGGAGGGGCGATGGGGCCTGTTTTCTGGGTGCAGTGAGGGTGTCTGGGGTGCGTCACGGAACCTGTTAGGTGGGTTGCGGGGGGTGGGTCACGGGGCCTGTTTTTGGAGGGGCTGGGGGGTGTCAAGGGGCCTGTTAGCTGGGTTGTGGAGACTGGGTCACAGGGGCTGTTAGCTGCGTGGGGTGAGGGTGTGGGGGAGTCAGGGGGCTGTTTTTTGGAGGGGGCTGGGGTGTCATGGGGCCTGTTTGCTGGGTGGGGTAAGGGTGTGAGGGGGTCACAGGGCCTGTTAGCTGGGTTGCAGGGGGTGGGTCAGAGGGCCTGTTTGCAGGGTGGGCAGTCGCAGGGGCTGTTAGCTGGCTCGTGTGAGTGTGTGGGGGTAGGGTTGCCAACTTTCTAGTCACACAAAACTGAACACCCTAGCCCCGCCCCTTCCTGGAGGCCCTGCCCCTTCCCTGAGGCCCCACCCCCCACTCATATATTCCCCCTCCCTCGGTGGCTCGCTCTCCCCCACCCTCACTCACTTTCACTGGGCTGAGGCAGGGAGTTGGGGTGCAGGAGGGGGTGAGGGCTCCGGCTGGGGGGGTGCAGGCTCTGGGGTGGGGCTGGGGACAAGGGGTTTGGGGTGCAGGAGGGGGCTCCAGGTTTGGGGGGGGGGGGCTCAGGGCAGGGGCTCGGGGCGTGGGCTTACCGGTCAGCGGCGCTAAGGCAGGCTCCCTGCCTGTCCCGGCTCCGCGCTGCGCCCCGGAAGCGGCCAGCAGGTCCGGGCCCTAGATGCGGGGGCCAGGAGGCTCCATGTGCTGCTCTCGCCCACAGGCACCAGCCAATGAGAGTGCGGAGGCAGTGCTCGGGGCGGGGGCAGCGTGTGGACGCCTGTGGCCCCCCCGCCTAGGAGCCAGACCTGTGGCCACTTCCGGGGCGCAGCTGGGACAGGCAGGGACCAGCCTGCCTTAGCTCTGCTACACCGCCGACTGGACTTTTAACGGCCCAGTCGGCGGTGCTGACTGGAGCCGCCAGGGTCCCTTTTCGACTGGGCGTTCCCGTCACAAACCAGACACCTGGGCACTCTCGGGGGGGGGGGGGGGGGGCATGCGGGCTGTTAGCTGGGTTGCCGGGGATGGGTCACGAGGCCTGTTTGCAGGGTGAGTTTGCTGGATGGGGTGTCATGGGGTCTGGTAGCTGGGTGAGGTGAGGGTGGGGGAGTCACAGGGCTTGTTAGCTGGGTTGCAGGGGCGGTCACGGGGTCTGGTGTTTGGAGGGGGCTGGAGGTATCGTGGGGCCTGTTTGCGGGGTGTTTGTTGGGTGGGGGCACAGGCAGCCCCCCCAAGCGCTGAGGGGCTCGCCAGGCGGCCCTGCCCAGCCTCTGCAGCTCTGAGGTGGGGCCGCCGAAGATGGGAAATAGGCCATAGAAGCCTCAGAAAAAAGGACCCGACCCTCATTTCTCCCAGCAGCCTCTTTTCCAGCACCCTGCTTGTCCCCCAGTTCCCCTCCTCCCCCGGCCCAGTCCCCCTTACCATAAGAACATAAGAGCGGCCATACTGGGTTGGACCAAAGGTCCATCTAGCCCAGTATCCTGTCTTCCGACAGGGGCCAATGCCAGGTGCCCCAGAGGAAATGAACAGAACAGGGAATCATCAAGTGATCCATCCACTGTCGCCCATTCCCAACTTCTGGCAAACAGAGGCTAGGGACACCATCCCTGCCCAACCTGGCTAATAGTCATTGATGGACCTATCCTCCATGAATTTATCTAGTTCTTTTTTGAACGCTGTTATAGTCTTGGCCTTCACAACATCCTCTGGCAAAGAGTTCCACAGGTTGACTGTGCATTGTGTGAAAAAATACTTCCTTTTGTTGGTTTTAAACCTGCTGCCTATTAAGTTCATTTGGTGGCCCCTATTTCTTGTGTTATGAGTAGTAGTAAACAACACTTCCTTATTTACTTTCTCCACACCAGTCATGATTTTATAGACCTCAATCATATCTACCCTTAGGCATCCCTGTTCCAAGCTGAAAAGTCCCAGTCTTATTAATCTCTCCTCATACAGCAGCCGTTCCAGACCCCTAATCATTTTTGTTGCCCTTTTCTGAACCTTTTCCAATTCCAATATATCTGTTTTGAGATGGGGTGACCACATCTGCACGCAGTATTCAAGGTGTGGCCGTACCATGGATTGATATAGAGGCAATAGGATATTTTCTGTCTTATTATCTATCCCTTTCTTAATGATTCCCAACATTCTGTTCGCTGTTCTGACGGCTGCACATTGAGTGGATGTTTTCAGAGAACTCTCCACAATGACTCCAAGATCTTTCTTGAGTGGTAACAGCAAATTTAGACCCCCTGATTTTATATGTATAGTTGGGATTGTGTTTTCCAATGTGCATTACTTTGCATTTACCAACATTGAATTTAATCTGCCATTTTGTTGCCCAGTCACCTAGTGTTGAGAGATCCTTTTGTAGCTCTTCGCAGTCTGCCTGGGACTTAACTATCTTGAGTAGTTTTGTATCATCTGCAAATTTTGCCACCTCACTGTTTACCCCTTTTTCCAGATCGTTTATGAATATGTTGAATAGGACTGGGCCCAGTACAGACCCCTGGGGGACACCACTATTTACCTCTCTCCATTCTGAAAACTGACCTTTTATTCCTCCCCTTTGTTTCCTGCACTCTACCCCGATATAACACAGGTTCGCATACAAGGCGGTAAAGCTCTGACATGCTGCTCTGAGCAGCGTGTTAAGGGTGCCAGGCCAGGCCGGGGCTGAGGGGTTCAATAAGGGGCAGAGGGTCTCGGGGGCGGTCAGGGGCTCTCCCCCACCAAGGCCTGGGGGGCAGGAGCTGTGGGAGGGCACTTTTGGGGGCCCCGCAGTCCCAGAATGGCCCGGGGGATTAGCGGGGGGCCAGGAGCAGCCTGCTCCGCTTCCCTCGCTCCGGCCGCAGCCGTGTCGCTCGGGGGAAGGGGCTTGGGGGAAGGGATCCCCCCCCTCAGTCACTGGCAGCGGCGGAAGTGGAGCAGCCCGGCCCCAGCCCGCGGCGCTCCGCTTCCCGCCGCAGGTGAGTACAGGGGGGCATCCTTTCTCCAACCTCCCCGCACTCACCGGCGGCAGGAAGCGGAGCGCCGCGGCTGGGAGGTGGCAGAATGGAGCGGACTGGGGCCGGGCTGCTCCGCTTCCCGCCGCTGCCGGTGAGTGCCTGTCAGGGCGCCAGGGGAGGGGTGGATAGGGGTCGGAGCAGTCAGGGGACAGGGGGGTTGGGTAGGGGGTGGGGTCCTGGGGGTGATTAGGGAGGGGGGTCTCTGGAGGGGGCGGTCAGGGAACAAGGAATGGAGGTGGGGAAGCAAGTTTTATATAAAGCGGTCTCACCTATAACGCGGTGAGATATTTTGTCTCCCAAGGACCGCGTTATATCGGGGTAGAGGTGTCTCTTTTAACTAGTTACCAATCCATGAGAGAACCTTCTCCCTTATCCCATGGCAGCTCACTTTGCTCAAGAGCCTTTGGTGCAGGACCTTGACACAGGCTTTCTGAACGTCTAAGCACACTCTATGCACTGGATCCCCCTTGCCCGGGCTGCTGGTACCTCCATTGGGCTGGTGGCCCTCGTACACCTCGTAGATCTTGTAGGGCTGCATGGGTGTGTCCTTGGTGCCGTCGTAGATCAGCTTGAACTCGCGGCTCTTGTTGAGGGCGCAGCGCAGGTTGGCTTTCCACTTGGCTGGGTCCGGCTCATCTACCCCTTCGTTGTACTTGCCGGTCTCCTTGGCCCAGGCCTGGGAGGTTGGGATGCAGGGGGTGGTCACAGACATAGGTCAAGCCCCAGCCCAGCCCCAGTGCTAGGAGCCCGGGAAATCCAAGCTTTTGCCTGTCCGCTGATGAAAGATTCACTCCTGAACTGCTCTGTGGCTAAGCGGTGACAAGGGGCAGCCGCGGGGTGGCCCGGGGAGAAGGGAGCTCAGAGACGCTCTCCCAACAGAACATGTAATTCACTGGCAGGCCAACACCAGGGCCAGAGCCGCCTTCTGCAGTGACACCGGCTGGCATAAAATGCCACGGGCTTCCGGGCCTGGCCGACAGCAGCACATCACCCTTCCGCAGCTGCGTCCGCAGGGTAGTTCAAAGAGGGGTGCGGACATCACGCCTCCTGCTGCGAGGCGGGTATGATCGGCCCTGTTTCATGGGGAGCGAGGGGGAACTGAGGCCTTTTCAAACACCTCAAGAGACGGCTAACTGAGCGGCCTGGCGGCTAGTCCCACGCAGCTAGCAGGGTGCATTCTGGGACACCGTCCCGTGAGCCTCCCCGCAAGGGGGCAGAGGGACCCATGGTCTGCTCCAGTGCAGCAGCTCCTGGGAGTCCCAGTTGGGGTCACGTCACATTGTGCGCGTGACCCAGCCAACCCCGTTCCTTACATGTCAGTTGGGTGCCATGTGCCCCGAGGGGTACCCCCACCCCAGCCTGGCGTCCCACGGGCCCCTGGGCGCTCACCTTGAACACGGTGTTCTCGTCGTCCTGCGTGGGGACGTGCCGGGTGGCATGGCGCCAGGGGATGCAGAAGAGCTTCCGCTCGGGGTTCACCCACTGCAGGCCTGGGTACTGGTTGCTGTTCACTTGGGCGATGAGCCAGGGCTTCAGGCGGATGCGACGGGGATGCGCGTTCATGGCGACTCACTGGGCTATGCCGGCCACCAGCCTGCGCACTGAGAGAGAGGAAGAGGCTGTTACGGGGCCAGGTACGCAGGGGAGAGGGCAGAGCTAAGGGGAAAGGAATGAGGGAGGGGGAAGGGCAGGGATAATAGTAGGGGGGGAGGCAGAGTCCACCCTTCCCCATTTTTCACAGACTCACAGATCTGTCAGGCTGCGAGGGACCTCGAGAGATCACCAAATCCAGCCCCCTGCGCTGAGGCGGGACCAGGTAAACCTGGACCATCCCTGACGGGGGTTTGTCCAACCTGTTCTTTTTCCTTTATTCAATTCAATTTTATTAAATCGCCTGTGACTAAGGCGAAGATTTTGTCCCGGTTATTTTTTGTAAAAGTCACAGACAGATCACGGGCAATAAACAAAAATTCACGGAAGCCGTGACCTGTCCCTGATTTTTACTGAAAATATCAGTGACAAAATGGGGATCTGTGGGTGCCCACACCACCTGCAGTGGGTCAGCTGCATGGCGGCTAGGAGCTCCGGGGGCCCCCATCGCAGATTGCGGGTCAGCGCTCCAGGGTCCCCCATCGCCCATGGCTGGGAGCTCGGGAGTTCCCCCATCACCCGCGGCAGCCAGGAGCTCGGGGGTTCCCCCACCACCCGCGACGTCGGGAGTTGCGGAGTTCCCCCACCACCCGCAGCGGCGGAAGTTGCGGAGTTCCCCCACCGCCCACAGCAGCAGGAGTTGCGGGGTACCCCCACCGCCTGCGGCAAGCTTGGAGCTCCGGGGCCGCCAGAGGCGATGAGAGTACCCTGAAGCTCCCCACCACCGCAGGCTGAAGTCACGGAGGTCGCTGGAAGTCATGGATTCCGTGACTTTTGCAACCTCCATGACTAAATTGTGACTAAGCCTTATCTATGACACATCTGCTGCGAATACAAAAGACAAACCTACAAATCTAAAGTCACCACAACATCTATATCCGTGTTTCTCAACCTTTTCGATACCATAGACGGGCTTGCTGCCTTCCTAAACTGTGTCAGGGGATCTCAGGGACCGGCACCGGTCCACGAACCGGTCGGTGAGAAACACTGATGTATATGATCCATTAAAATGTCAGTCAGAGCCTAATAAAAACTCTCTTCTTCAGCGTAATACTAAAAGGACAAACATTGCCACCGTTTTGATTACTACCAGGGACTGAGAAGAAACGAAAAACATTATCTTTGGAGATGGTGATCAAAGCTCGTTTCCTATATAAGAGGTAAAATCCCGCGTGCTCTCAGAAGCTGGAAAATTCGACAATTCAAAAGAGAGCGAGCTAGATTCTCCAGCACTCCAGATTTACATGGGCAAAACCGAAAATGGGAAGGAACGTTTCGACAGCTTGAAGGACAGCGGTTTCCATGGTTTGGCATCTTAGCTGAGTCTGTGCCTTAAGCAACGGGGGTTTGAGAACTCATTCAAATATAGTTCAAAGACATGGGCCATCTTCAAAGGAGAAAACCAAAAGGCAAACTTGGAATCATGAATCATAGCCAGATGTTCTTCTGGGGGATGGATTGTCATGCTCTGTCTGAGTAGCTGATTACATCAATTAAAAGATATTGACAATAAAGTGAGTAGCAGAAAAACCCAACAGAGCTATGATAAACTGGCGCGTGTTATGCCAGGTTGTTCCTCCATCTCCTGGAGGCAAAGAAGGGGCAGTTTATAATCTGGAAGAGGACAGATTTTAAAGCAAAATATAAGAAAAGCAATGCACGCTGCTCTACTACTTACAGAAAGAACAGCCAACTCGGCATGTAAAAACGAGGCAGGGGTAGACTTTGGGAGAAATAAAAGTTGTTAAAAATATTTTTTTGAACAGATCTCTAAGGCCAAAATTTATCCCCTTAACCAAATTTCAACCCCATAGACCATCTGCAATATTATTTTTGCATTAAAAATTCTTAGTGCCGGGGGCAACTCTGTTCCCACCATATGAGCGTGTAAAAAAGGGCAGAGCTAAGGGCCTTTTGGTTTAAGCCTTTATGATAAGGGGACCAGTGGTCCGAATGATAAAACTTTATCCCTAACTAAGTAAAAGCAGAGACTTGTTCCACAGGGTGGCTTCCACTCAATTTGCAGAGGGGTTCGTCCCCAAAATCATGATCTTGATCTTATAATTAAGTTACCATGAGAGGGAAAACAAGATAATAACTGGAGGAGTTCGTGATCAAACAACCCCGTCATCAGCATATCATGACACTGGGATAGGTCGACCCTTAATTTGTGGCGGAGAGAAATTACCTTCCGTTAAAACATCCACCACTTTATTAATATGTACATTAAAAAGAAGAGGGGCTAGAAGGCATCCTGGGCGTACTCCCCTAGAAACCAGGGAAATGTTGATTTTAGTTCTGACCCTAGCCATACTGCCCTGGGCTAGGGCCTCCAAACGAGTCAAAAGTCTCAGATGGTTACCCATCCTTCTTAACATCAGCCAAAGTTTGCCTTGATCAATAGAACCAAATGCCATCTTTTGATCTATGAAAGCAACATACACTCTAGTACCCTTAACCTCCATATATTTATAAATCATATAGGATAAAATATAGCAATTATCAATTGGGGCTCTACCAGCCCTAAAATTGGACTGCTCTGCCTATAATAAATTAGCCGCGAAAGCCCATATTTCAAGTTGAGATATTAAACATCTAGAGTAAATTTTCCCTGCCACATATAACCAGCTAATAACGCTATACGAAGCAGGATTCTTTCTAGCCCTATTTCAAAAATAGAAACTATAAGACTGGATATCCAGACAGACAGACAGAACCCATCCAATATGGTTAACGAGGGTAAATAATTTAGCCAAGACTGGGGAGAACCAATTAAGATTCTTCTGAAAAACTTCCGTCAGGAGAAAATCTTCCCCTGAAGCTTTTGTCCGTTGTTGGGCTAAACTAAATGACTGCAATTCACTGTCCATTTCGGAAGGCCGGGGTGGTAAATCCAAGAGAGGGTTCCCCATTGCACCAGCTATGGCAGAAGTAGATGAATCACTAAGGCCCGGGCTTCATCATGAATATGGGGCTCCTCAGCTGGAGTGTATCTACCAGCGCTAAAGCTGCCATCTTCCAAAATGTAGAAGAATTTTTAGGTTTTGCTTCTGCTTCAAAATCCTTCCACAAGGATCTAAGATATTCTTGGGAGGCATGTCATATAATAAACTTTTATATCTTCTTCTGGCCTCTACTACATCCTGAAATAAATTAGGAGAGGGATTTCATCTTACCCTCCTAGCTACACGCGCGAGAACAGACTTTTCCTTCACAGTCCACACAAACCAAGTGCGCAATCTCTAGAAGCATTTAGAATAGCTAAAACCAAAGTCAACTTGTTTAGAGACAAATGGTTGTACGGACTTCACCAGCAGCTCATGTTAGTCACAAATTTGAGAGGAATTCTCAGACTTAATAATGATGTCTCTGAGAGCTCTAACACGCGAGTCCTCCAATCTCCTCAATGATTGGTCATGAATGGCCGGGGTCCATTTTAGTCTTTTACAACCGCTTTGGTCCACAGGGGTAATAAAAGCCTCTTCTTCACTCATCAGAAATACAACTCTCCCTAGAAAGAGCACATCAGTCGTAACTATAGAGCAAGGCTGGTGGGTCACTAGCCTGTCTCTAAAAGCCTCCAGTGACGGGGATTCCACGACCTCCCTTGGACGCCTGTTCCAGAGCTGAACTACCCTGAGAGTTAGAAAGTTTTTCCTAATATCGAACCTAAGTCTGCCCTGCTGCAGATTACGCCCTTACTGCTTGTCCTACCGTCAGTGGACATGGAGAACAACTGATCCCCGTGCTCTTTATAACAGCCCAGAACAGATGTGAAGACTGTTCTCAGGTCCCCCCTCAGGCTTCTTGTCTCAAGACTAAACAGACCCCGTGTTTTAACCTCTCCTCACAGGTCAGGCTTTCTAAACCTTTGATCATTTTTGTTGCTCTCCTCTGAACTCTCTCCACATCTTTCCTGAAGTGTGACACTCAGCACTGGATACCAGACACCAGCCGAGGCCTCACCAGTGCCGGGCAGAGCAGGACAGTTACCGCCCATGTCTTACATATGACGTTCCTGTTAACAAGCCCCAGAAGGAAATTCGCTTTTTTCACAGCCGCCTGACACGGCTGACTCATATTCAGTGTGTGATCGACTGTAGCCACCAGCTCCTTTTCAGCAGGGCAACCACCTAGCCAGTTATTCCCCATGTGGACAGCCACACTCGGGATAGGGTGGGGAAAGCGCACAGAGGTCGGGCTCCAGGCCCAACCAGTCCTCAGCCTCTCTGCTGGGACTGCCAAGGAGGGGGCTGGTTGGTGCCAGCTATGGGGGTGTTTTCTGATGCAGACACCTGCTCGTTAGGAACTGGGCAGAGACCCAACAAATTCATCTCATGTAGGCCACCAACCAGCCAGCAGCTGCTGCCTTCCAGTTACTGCCAAGAAAAGCTGGATTCAGGGCAGTGCCCTCGCCACGAGGGGCCCATTCCCCACCCCCAGAGACCCCCCAAACGCCTGCCCCTCCTGCACACACACGATGTGAACTGAGACGCCCCTTTCTCCTCTGAGCCCAGAGCCCCCATTCCCTCCCCACTTCGCCCAAGGTGACTGCCGCTCCAGCCATCCCATCCCAAACGCAGGCCAGCGGCCGCTGCCTCTAGGTGGCCCACGGGACTACCAGGGCCTGCTTGTTTGCCCTCCCCTGCTGCTTGGGCCTCCACTCACACCTCCTGGCCAGCTGGGACAGCTCCTGGGGTGGGGGCGGGGTGCTGGATGCGATGGGGGCTCCAGGCCCCAGTCCATGTGGTGGGGGGAGGGACATCCCGGCTGAGGAGACACCCTGGCTCAAATTATATTTGGGGCAAGAGTCAGCTGGGATGGGAGCTCGCGGTGGTGCTGCAGGGTGGGGTTCTTATGTGGGGTCTCCTGGCTGGCTTCTGTTGGGGGGGTCCCAGTTGGGGTAGGTGCCATGGGGGCTCCCCCAGTGCATGGGGTTGGGCTGCTGGCT